TTATTAAATGAACCCTTCGTTCCTGGTTAGCACAGCCCCGTGGGATACGTTTTTTCTTTATTAAAAATTTCSGAAAATATTTTGTAAATTTTGATCAATAAAAGTTCTACTGTATACGCCGTTGTGTTCGCTATTTCATATTTATAATAGTATTGCTCGTAATTATTATCATTAAAAATCATTAAAAATTAATTATTAAAAGAATTATTATTTAAGAATAATTTTTAAAAATTTTTATATGGTCTTTGAAATACCCGTACATATCATAAGCAATTTCGATACTTCGGGTATCACTTTCCCACATTACATACCTTCTGTTTCTGTCAGTATTACTATAAGTCAACCAAAATTTAAAAAACTTGCTAACAACATTTTTGATGAGTGTAAATGATAGTGTCTTCAAACTCAACACTCAAAACTGTGTAGACTCTTTGAGCAAATATAATAGTTAACTGTTTGTAGCTACGCTCTCTCTTTTACTCGCTCACCACTACATTAAATGTGCATTCTCTGCTCTCTCCTACGCAAGCATAATATTGCTAGTTGCAAACTTCTGCCGCTTGTGTCTGAAATGGCGCTGCTATTCACCGTCGACTGCTCAGTTAATGGTAAGCATACGCTCAGCAGTTTGTAGAGTTCGGTTTCACTCAAAATGCGGGGAACATTAGTGAGTGGTATTGGTGGAAAATACACATACTCTAGTTAATATTTTTGTTGACAATATCATTTATCATTTTAATWCGATTAAAAGGATGTTGACGATGGATTGCGTATTTAAATTTAATTTAATAAATGGATTTACATTTAAGAGTGGATATAACAAAAAAAAAATTTTAAGTATTATATAATAAATTCCAATATTTTTTGGAGTAAAAATGGTCTTCTGGAAAAATATGTGCTAGTGTCATGAAAAAATATGGCTAAGACAAAAACAAAGTTGAGAACTTCTTTATGAAAAATATTTGATTAGTTTAGCGAGAATTTTTCTTTAAAAAAATCCTGAATTTATTATCTCATCTACTGACCTCTTTTGTATATCTTTCTTCATTGTATCCAATTTAAGAAATATTTTGAAAACATTTTCACTTTAAACATAAATTCTCCCCTAAATTTKAATCCAATCCACTCCTCTCAATGTGTATACACCAAATGTTCATTTTTTATATTTTTTCTGAGTTCAGGTATACTTTATTTTCGCCATTTCCTTTTTTTTTTTTTGCTGGTTCTTTCCTATAAACAAAACTCGTAAAGTTTTTGAATAAACTAAGCACAGGTCTGACGAGTAGTAGGCATATCGAACTAAAATGTCTTCAAAAAATCTTCGCCACTGAAATCTGAGTTTTTTGATAATTATAGAACATTTTTTTGTACTTTTAGTATTTTTTTATTTTCTAAAAAATTCGTTTAATATATACTTTTTTGTTTTTTTTTCTACATAATTTACACCACTTAATTTAAATAAAAAACGTTTAGTTCATAATTATTTTATAAAATATTATCCGCATTAATAGTGATGTGGCGGTACACGATGTGGTGGTCCATGATGTGAAGGTCCGTGATGCGGGGGTCCGTGATGTGGAGGTCCGTGATGAGGAGGTCCGTGATATGGAGGTCCATGGTGTGGTGGGCCATGATGTGGAGGTCCGAAGTGTGGCGGAACATGGTGTGGTGGGCCGAGGTGTGGTGGACAGTGTTGTGGTGGCACATGGTGTGGTGAGCCATGGTGATGATGTGGTGGTGGTGGTGGTGGCATTTTAAAGTTATTTACCGAACTTTACACAAACGTTTAAATATGTGCCAATAATAGAATGGATTATTGCGGAAACAATTGTCTTCACTAAACGGTACAAGTAAACTGTAGCTAAAATTCCATATACSTAGACTTATATGAATTTCTTATCAACACACATATTATGACTCGAGCGTACGGGTTTTTCCTAAMATTTTTTTGTTTTTCTGATACTGCAATATTTGAAGTGATAGATAATAATGTGTTGTAAACTGATTAATACTCTTAAAAATGTGTAGACAAATAGTAAAAACCGTTATCTTAAAAGCGAGTAAGTATATATAATAATTGTCAAYAATATTGAAAGGAAATAAATAAAATAAAAGTCGGTTAAGTTTGGTTATGAGTGGCCTTCGCCGCTGATAAGCAACTCTTATTTGACATATAGAATCAGCATGTCTGGCCGAAAAACTTGCAATCCGTGAATTATCTGAATAATTTTTTGTAATTTTTTCTAGTAGTAAATAAAATTAGGTATTTCTTTTACTAAAATAAGCAAGAGTCGTCACAAAATATTTCTCCTTCACCTTTGTTAGCAACGCAGGTATAATTTTTATATTATTATTGCTTAGATTTATGGCCGCGTTGAGTCGTCGAGGACCAGTTGACATGTTTGCGTGCCAAGYCAAATATCTATAATATATGTGCACACGCCCACACAAACACTCTGGTTGAAAAAAAACAACAAACACTCTAAACAGTGAAATTCAAGACCAAAAACCTCACTTAAATTCACACACTACAAACAAAAGTGAATACAAGCCACCGCCAACACACACAAACAAGTGCACATAATGGAATTTATTTGCTTTCAGCATTTACCTGAGATGCCGTGACTACTTTTTAGAGGCGTGCTTGCATTATTTACATTCGTATGTCGGCGCATACTTACATATATAATTTTGCGCCCAAAATTTATGCGAATTTTTCACTGTCGTGTGGAACTTTACTTTTGTTGGATTATCCGCATTTAATAGTCAAGTGATTTTCATGTGATTTGCTAGAGTGCCTCAAGTGTTTGGCGTTTGCTTTTTTACTGCGCATTACATACAAACAAAAGCATATATTTCGGTTTACTGTGTATGTTGCTTTTGTTGGCGCAATTAAGCTGTTACGATTGTTGCAAGAAATAATGCCAACCTGCCAACACTTAACACGCTGTTCGTGTGCTGTCACATATTTCAGGGCGCTATTACAATGGGAGTGCTGTATGTTTATTCAGAGAAATACCGCGTGATTTGTGGCATGAAAGAAATTTAGAAAAATAATAAAATATGAATTAAAATATATATAAAACTGAATTTTTGTACTTTTGCTGTACGATATTATTGAATTGCATTTTTAAGTTCGATAATATTGTAAATATCGATAACTAACAATAAGTATAGATACAATTGTTGTATACTCATGGATAAGTAGACAACATAATATAATTTTTAAATGTAATTGTATACACGAATTACTATCATTATCGATAACTATCATTAGTTTTTAGAATAATGACGATCAATAATTATAGCTATATATTTCCGATTAATAAAATTTATCGATAATTATCGATTTTTATTATAATATATTTTTTTAAATTACTCTTTAGTAAGTAGGCAACKGAAAATTCTCCGTTAATTAAATTTATCGATAAGTATCGAATTTTGTTAAGAAAAATTTTGATATTCCTCAAGTAAGAAATATGTTTTATACAAGTATGTGTACATTGATCTTGAAATAGAACTAGAGATTCAATAATTATCAGTAATTATAGTTGCAACTATTACGCACTTATTAATAACTACAAAAAAAAACTCACGACATCTAATTAAAAATTAATAAAATTTATCGATAGACATACAATTTTATGAAAAGAAATTTAGATAAGACTAAAGTTCACGCTATGTACCGTATTCAATGAATTTAGAAAATCTTATTTTCCGTATACATACATAAATTGGACTTGAACTAGTTTTCGATATTATTGTAAATATCGATAACCATCAGTAGTTGCAATAATGTTGTACTCATTCAAAAGTAAGCAAAAATAGTTCAGGCAATCGAATTGAAAATTTTCGGCTAATTAACTTTATCAATAATTCATAAAAGTTATCGATAAATATAAAATTGTATCAAAAGAAATTTATTATTTCTAAATTCTTATTTTTCGTATGAATTGGTCTTGRAATGTAATTATAAATTCGATAATATATCAAATATCGATTATCATCASTAGTTTGTTTGCAATGATTTTCAACTCATTCATAAGTAAAAAAAATAATTCAGGTGATCGATTTAAATAGTGTCGATTAATAAAAATTATCAAAAAAATTTAGCGAAAAATATTGATTTGCTTACTGAAAAATCGATAAAATTTATCGATAAATATCGAATTTAAATTAAAAAAAATTGATAAAAATTAAAACATAAGAAATATATCAGTTTTCATTGAAAACTTCTTTGAAATGCAATGCGCCAAAATGTATGCTCTTCAACTCTAACTCGTGTTATCTGATCATTTTTATCTCATACAAATGAAAAACTTAACTAGACACATTCTGGTATTTATTTTGGTAGTATGATTCTACAAATTATTGAAACACACTTTTTTTATTTTTTTATTTTATTTCTATTAACTAATAATAATGAGTAAACAAATTTTATAAAAATCCATATTTATTCGGARAACTGGTACAAAATAGTTGGAAAAACTATTTTTCTTTTCAAAAGGAAATCTTTTTTGTTTAAACTCACATAGTTTTATACACTTTAGGTATAGTAAAACGCACTTTAGTAATAGTAAAAAATATTTTATTTATGTATCTTGTATTATAAAAAGTATTTTTTATATAGTTTAACTAATTAACACATTTATCAAATATTAGGTTGTCAAAAAAGTCTTGCGGTATTTTTATTGAATTTTCAATTGTTCATAAAATTTTTTTTGATGACTCATGCCTAGCTCTTCACCGATGCTACGGCTGCTACTATGCCGGTCTCCTTCGACCAATTCAGCGATTTTATCGCAATTTTCGACGACAGGCCTTCCGGAGTTTAGCGCATCTTCGAACACCTCTACACCAGAATGAAAACGTTCAAACCATAGTTGTGCGGTGGAAATGGAAACTGTATCGGGTCCATAAACTGCACAAATTTTATTGGCGGCTTGAGATGAATTTTTGCCTTTATCGTAGTAGTACTGTAATATATGCCGAATTTTCTCTTTATTTTGCTGAATGTTTGCGACGCTATAACTCACGAACGACTTAAAAGAAACGACAATCAATCAAACACGTGTTTGCGTGTGAAACGTGTAGTCGCATGACCCGATGCGACGAATAAAACTAGAACTRCGCGCTCTCAGCGCCAACTAGCGAAAATACCGCAAGACTTCTTTGACAATCTAATAAATCCGATGTCAACTACAGTATATTACAGCAAATGACTCGCGGACAGCAGCAAGGTGGCGGTGGTGGTCCACCGTGATGCGGCGGTCCGTGGTGGTGAGGTGGTCCATGGTGGTGCGGCGGTCCGTGGTGGTGAGGTGGTCCATGGTGGTGCGGTGGTCCATGGTGGTGCGGKGGTCCGTGGTGGTGAGGTGGTCCRTGGTGGTGCGGTGGTCCATGGTGGTGCGGTGGTCCGTGGTGGTGAGGTGGTCCATGGTGGTGCGGTGGTCCATGGTGGTGCGGTGGTCCGCAGTGATGATGTGGTCCATGATGATCATGTGGTGGCATTTTTGTAGAAAATAAAAAGTAAAGATTTCTATACTTGTTAAAACTAGAAACAGATGCTTAGCTCTTCACGCCAGCTATTGAACTAATTCGTAATACGCGCTCTCGACAAGTTTGACTGCATTATGAGAGTCTCCTTCAAACAAATGTTATCAATGTTATGTTTATGAGAGCTTAAACACATTTTTCGCACATTTCTTGTTGATATTGCTGTAGTTTATTATCAATCATTTATTGTTTATTTACTTTTATCAACATTATCTAATCTASTTAAAGTGAGTAACGTGCTTTAGAAAGGGTGGAATACAATTTCATTAGTTCGATTTGGARAGGTTAATTGACGCTGACATAACTAAAAGTATGAATAATCTAATAAATGTTGGTTTACCATTTGTTCTGTGACTAATCTCGTTGTGGAAGTGAGTAATCAACGTCGATTAAAGTGCGAAATTGCGGTAATTTTTACGAACTAGCACGAAACTGTTGAAACGRAAATTCTTTGTACGCGACTTAGTAACTATTGGTACATTGTTTGTATATTAGTAATGCAGGGTCTACTTCAGCTTGTAGGTATCTGGTAATCAAGGTAATCTTAGTTTTMTGAGGTTAGTGCACTTAAATGATTGTTAACACTTTACTATCGACATTTATTTGAAGAATCGAAACAAAATTTTCGTCWTTTCATTTAATCGATATGATGAACKGAAGTTCTTAACAGGTTTATAATATTTTGAATAGTATTAATATACTGTATTAAGATTTTAATAGAAGTACTACATAAATACCTCGAATTTCTAATTAAATATAAAGGTCAATCTATACATATAATTCATWTTTTTTACTTCAGTTTTATCAAAAAATCTTAAAAAAAATTCGATATTTATCGATAAATTTTACTTAAAATTTCTAAAATTCAGCATGAATCGAATAGTCAAATGGTCAACTAATGAGRAGTTCGAAGTGTGGGTTCTCTGAAAATCTACAAAGCGTGTTCCTGCGCTTTGTTACCTCTTCCTACTGACAACGATGTTAACATTTCCTGATCGATATCATGCACCCATTATTCATGCTTTTCCCTGYTTATTATTCTTGTATCCAACTTAAAACTCCTTCTCCTATCATCGGCTCTGAAACCTCCTTCAACTAAAACCGGTGTTTTTTTTTTTTATTATTTAAGCTATGTCTTCAAAGGCAATAAGTCTCTTTAAATATTTAGTCATAACAGTCGGTTAAAGTGCCTGGCACAATTTCTTGGGGACATAAAATTAAAGAACTTTGCTACGTGCCTTCGCCTCAACTTAGCGACTTTGCCGCAAACCAGCCAACCARCCAAGCRGTGACCTGCRCGCCTAACGCAATTKTCGTCKTGCTTGTCGGTGGCCTAGAAATTTAGATAGGCCAATGGCGCTAACTGTCGCACCTGTAACACTAACACGCATACACCGAAATTTTGCGCAAGTGGAGCAAATCTAAAAGTTATATTTTACACTTTCGTGAATGAAGCAATTTCCAAGCGTTCGCCATCGTACCAAAAACTCATAAAAACTAATGAAATATGGTCATGTGAATGAGCGGTTGGCCGGCGAATGCCCCGGTCAAGTTACGTGGTCTTATACTCGAGTGTGTGTGTGTGTGTGTGTGTGCATACCTGTGGCAGTGGAAAAACATGAAAATCCACTTGTCCTAATGTCCAATCATTTTAATATAGTAGACGAGTATGCATGGAATCATGCAATGAATAGTCCGACCAACTAAGGTGATAATAATTTTGCGACGCCAACAACAAGCGCCAACGCACGCACACATACACACACATGCATTTTTTTATGTCAATGTGTTYTCGTGTATGTATGTGTTGCTTGGCATGGCGTTGTGGCGACAAAGTAGGAAATGAAATGAAAATTGATTTTCGTGCCCGTTTCTTCCTCTGTATTAGTGAATTTTTCTAAGTTTTTATGATGCCTCGGAACAAAAAAGCATTTAAGTGAAATGGCAAATGGTTTTAGTGCACTTTTCACAAGTTTTTATGACCACAATTACTTTAGATAAAATTCGAAATGTGTCGAGGGTGGCAGTACCACTGCTAAATAGCGAAATTGAAGTCACTATRTCAGTTTTAAAGCGCGCAAAGTTTTGCCTTGGTAAAGTAACTAATGTGCATCATTCCGAATACTTGGAAATTTATATGATGGACGGTGATTCTATTAATGCAAACTTCTAGTAAAACAATGAAAAAAGTATACATTTAGTGTCTCAAGTTGTTTGAGCAAGAAGCTGAACTGAAAGAGGCCACATTGGCTTCCATCGTGATTGTAGAGAAAGTAGTATTTTGCTTAAGTTAGGCTTGAAGTAAAATATTTACAAGTCATATTTTCTTTAAAATTTATATGATGGAACATTTTTAGCCGGTAATTCATTCTATGCTTTAAATATTTTCATTTTAACTGCCTCTATATAAAATTTTGTCATTTCTTAAATAAAAATTAAAGATTTTAAGATATTTATGGTCCAATTGTACCAACAATCACACAACAACTGCAATCAAATGAGAACTTGGACTATGAAATCACTTAAGAAACTCATAGGATTCATAAATTCATATTCGTTTTGATTGTCTACGTATTTCGAGAATCATTGAGCTTACAGACCYTTATCACATCAGCCAGCATTTGTCAGAGATTTCAACAGCCTCAGAATTGTATTTGGCTTATTTACTGTAAATAATGCTGTTAGGTTAATCAGGTAKGCCAATATGCTACGCATAGACCAGCTTAGTACTTTGTGATATCAGATGGAGTTCAGTTACATGGTCCAAGAGAAGTAGTCATCGTTAGAATGCCTACGCTTGTTGCGAATATTAACAGACTCTACGGCCTTACATTCGATACCTCCTCCAGTGTTGAGTTCCCAGGTACTTACCTGTCTCTTATACACATCTAGATGTGTATAAGAGACAGGCTTAGTACTTTGTGATATCAGATGGAGTTCAGTTACATGGTCCAAGAGAAGTAGTCATCGTTAGAATGCCTACGCTTGTTGCGAATATTAACAGACTCTACGGCCTTACATTCGATACCTCCTCCAGTGTGGAGTTCCCAGGTACTTACAGCGTAATCTTGCAAAGCAGGACAAGTGACATTGTTTCGTTGGTGCTCTGCAGTCTATCTCCTCCACTATTTTATTGCTCGCTATGCATTTGTGGTCTGGAACTCAGTAGTAAAGTTAAATATAATATGAAGATTAGTTCAAAAATTATTTGGAACTCATAACCAGGAACAAAAGAAATTCTTATTAATGGTTCTGAGATAGCTTTGAATCCCTAAAACTAGATTTAAGGAATTAAGATTCGATTTAAGATTGAAGGGYGATCCGGAAAAACGAAAGTGTCAAGTAGAAAAATATTTAGCTTCATTTCGGCWATCGGGAATCGGTATCTGCTTAAGGAAGGAAGCTATTTTTTGMCTTTTTTGTTTTAAGATTTCCTTGTTGAATTTGTTTTGTGAAGACAAGAAGAGGTTAATTTTCATGATAGAAGATGCCGGGTGCGATTTCCAATCCATCAATTATGATATGCCCGTTATGAGCATTATACTATAAGTCATAATATCCATACTTAACTGGAAAAATTATCAAGATGAAGGCAAATAAATATTGTTCTACAAAAGAAGGAGGAATTTGGATTTTTATATAAATTGTACTCAGACTTGGCGTAGATGCAGCGAACAGCAAAAGAATCGGCTTACCAATATTAAAATACAAATACAGATGTATTCTTTCATAAATGTGTGTGTTGTTGCCTTGGTGACTGCTATTATTCTGCTGCATTGCTACCCCAAATGAATTGGGCTACTGTGTCGTCGCTGTTGCAGTCTTTGCACTTGTCAACAYAGCGGTTGTCGTTGTTGTTTTTATTTTCTATACTAACACAATGCTACGCACTTTTTTAAGCAAGAGCTTGCATAACAATGCATGGTGAGCTGAAGTGCATATATAGTACATGCCACAAGGGATGCTGCGTACGGTTTATTTTTCATGAGGAGTCTGCAAACACTTACTTGCAAAAGTGTATACATACATTTAAATTATTATAAAGCAGTGCTCATGAAAAAACAAAATATATTTTTTTTATAATTTTTTTTATAATTTTTTTTTTGATGTAAGCCAACTGCTACTCTGCAACATTTGCTCCCCAAACTGATTTGCAAAAGGGTTCATATTTTTTGAAAAGACACAGGTATATCTGAAGTGCAACACGTATGTACAAGTATTCCCTGACAGTGCTGTGCGCGGAAGTGTACACTTGTGTTGGAGCATGTGGGTATGCAATGAAATCATGAAATCTTTTAGTATGTGTGTCCTTATATGGGATTGACTGAGGGTGTTGTCAGCGCCACTTGAAAGGCTGCTGCCAATCAAATGCGTTGTATTATTTGCGGAATAGGCTTGAAATTTTTCGAATATACGCACATCTGCGTTAATTAGGAAATGCGTATGAGTTACCGATACTCCGAAAATTAGGGAGACGCCTATAAGCAACCCTGTTTTGTGTAAGAAGGCATTTTTGCGTAATTAAAAATTATGTGCATGCTTTCGATTTCAATAGAAAATTTATACGAGATGTTACATACAAGTATTTGCAGCCTGGAACAAACAACACTTTTTGTCTTCTTTACTCAAATTCAAAATAATAGCCACTACACTTATGGCCATATTTGAGATTTAAGTACATATTGGGTAGTCGAAAAGTCTTTTCGTATTTCTAATTAAACTAATTTTTTTAATGTTTATAATAATAAATAAATAAACAAAAAGTTACCATTTTGATCGACCTTTTTTGAAATTATTCCATCAGTGTAAAACTTTCATCAGTGTAAATCGAAATTTCGAAAATTCCAGAACGGAAGCGAGCGAACTATTATTGTGATACAAGAACTGATACAGCATCGTTTCCGTAAACTTAACACATTTTATTGATGGCTTGCGTGGCATTCTTCCATTTTCTGTACAAAAATTTCAAAATATAGCGAATTTCTTCTTCTTTTCACTCATTTTTGAATAAATGTAAATTGTTTTCAACTTCCTCCAATTTAAAATCTCACCTTTCC